ACTAGTTCAACCATTGTAGAAGACAGTGTGGTACTTCCTCAAGGATATAGAAATAGAAATTCCACTTGATCCAGCAATCCCATTACTGGATATATACCCAAAGGATTATAAATCATTCTATTATAAAGACACACGCACACATATGTTCATAGCGGCACCGTTTACAATAGCAAGGACCTGGAACCAACCCAAATGCTCATTGATGATAGTCTGGATAAGGAAAGCGTGGCACATATACACCATGGAATACTATGCAGCCATAAAAAATGATGAGTTAGTGTATTTGTAGGGACATGGATGAATCTGGAAACCATTATTCTCAGCAAACTGACACAAGAACAGAAAATCAAACACCGCATGTTCTCACTCATAGGTGGGTGTTGAACAATGAGAACACATGGACATCACACTGGGATCTGTTGGCAGGGGCCAAGGGAGGGACAGCGAGGCAGTGGGTGGGGAGGTCGGGGAGGGATGACATGGGGAGAAATGCCAGATATAGGTGATGGGGATGGAGGCAGCTAACCACATTGCCATGTATGTACCTATGCAACAATTCTGCATGATCTGCACATGTACCCCAGAACCTAAAGTAGAATAAATTTTTTTAAAAAAGGAAGCACTTATACTCTCATGGAAGGAAAGCCACTTGATGATACCAGGTGGCAGAGGTCATTTGTTTTGCAAGGTCAGGGCTGGTCCTGAGCACAGGAAGCATAGTTTGCCCTGTTAAGTGACTTGACAAGTCCTGGAATATTCCCTTACATTCTCAACTAAATCAGGAGCCCAATATGTGTAACTTCCACACATGGAAGAGAAACAAAACCTTGCAGGTTGCCTAGCGGTGGCCCTTTAGTCCTCTGCTATTAGTTCAGCTAGCCACATCAAACTAGTATGCTGTCTGTCTCTGGTATTAACTGGTGCAATCAGAAAGATGAATTTACTCCTTGGTGTATTAGTTTCTGATTGCTATGATAACAAATTAGCACAAACTTAAGAGGCTTAAAACAACACAAATACATCACACTGTAGTCCTATATGTTAGAAGTCTGGCATGGGTCTCACAGGCTAAACTCAAGGTGTTGACAGGGCTGTACTCCCTTCTAGAGGCTCTAGGGAGAATCTGTTCTTTGGCTTTTCCCCTTCAAGAGGCTTCCCACATTCCCTGGCTCATGGCCCACTTCCTCCATCTTCAAAGCCAGTGACATTACATCTCTCTGATCATTCTTATGTAGTTATATCTCCCTCTGATCACAGCCAGGGAAAGTCCTCAGTGTTTAAAGATTCACTGTAAAAGATTCATGTGATTAGATTAGGCCCACTTGGATGGTCCAGGATAATCTCCCGATGTCAACATCGGCAATGTCCCTTTTTGCCATGTAAGGCAACATATTCACAGATTCTAGGGATTAGGGTTTGGACATCTTTGGGGGGCATTATTCTGCCTACCACATATGGGTGGGTAAGGATATCCTAAGGGTTCCAGCCCGCAAGCAAGGACAAAGAGGGAAACTGAAAGTAACTATTGCTGTTGTGTTTCCCCAATTATTTCTTACAACTTCACAGTATCAGGGAAACAGAAATTACTGTCTTGTTAAGAGATGTAGAACAATCAACAAAGTATGGAACATGTTCCCAAGCACCAATAACTTGGTTCTCTCTTTACAATGTAGAGAAGCAAGCACAAGTGCTCTGTGAATTAGATACTCCACAAACACAGCCAGCTGGCCTCTCAGCAATAGGCTGATTATATAGCTATGCACTATCAACAGGCTGATTATATAGGCTATGCACTTTCCAGTAAAAGGTACATGCCCCTAAACAGCTTTATTGAAACTCTCCTCACTAAGAAACTGTGCAGACATTATTTTCTATGATGCAGGTCCTATAACTATCCCATTTTACAGATGAGAAAGCGAATACTTTCTACGATTATGCTACTTGACAAGCTGCTGCTTTCGCTGAACCAGTAAACATACATGTCTGAACCCAAAGCCTGATCTTACTCCTATGTAATATGCCTATTTCTATGCCTATTTGAAAATCCATCTAATCAGTACTTCTTCCCCCTTCTAATTCCAACCCAAAGCAAGTTCTTTCCTGTGACTCTACCTGATCTGACAGTCTACGTATGTGGTTTTAGGAGTGTGTGCACACATGTGCATGCTTGTGCATATGTGTTCAGGAACTCTAATTTTTTTCTTCACGAGGCTTCACATTTTGAATGCCAAACTTTCTGTCTGATCTCCAATCAGATATGGAGACTTCTGGCTCAGAGGTGGGATATGTATTGAACACATGCCTTAGGGTCATATCTAGTTTCAAAACTTGGCTAGATCATCACCTGTGAAACACTGGCAAATTACTTGAGTGCCACAAACTTCAACTTTCTTATCTTGTGAGAAGTCAAAAATATCTGCCTCACAAGGTCACTGTAGAATTAAAAGAGGTGATATAAAGCACTTGATAGATAATAATTACACAATACATTGTTGTTGATACTATTATCAATTCCGTGCTATGTTTACCTGCATAAAAATGCTATTCAAAGTTCTTGCCTCTCTGAAAAATGCTTATTGACAACCTCTACTTAAATCAGTGACATTAGCATGACCAATAACCATAGGTTAATTCACATTAGGTTAAGGTGTGTTAATATACATATTTTTTTTTTTTTTCTAAAGGGCTCTGCCTGCCCGGAGAAATAGTGCCTGATATTTCTTGAAATTTGCTAATCACATCTGGTTTAGCTTTAGACATTTTCTGGGATTTTGCCAGCAGCTACGACACTTTAATGGCTACAATAAACCTCAAAGCCTCATCAAATCTTTGCTGTATGTGTGAAAATTATGTCCTCTTCAATTAAACATTCAATCTCAGCTCACACCAAGGCCTTATGGAAAAGGAGGTGAAACCTGAATGGAAATGTAAGATGAAACGGACCGCCACGATTCTGGCCATCTTGCCAGATGGTATTTAGAAGAAAAAGAAATTCATTAGAGAAACCACGGTCTGTATTTTCTTTAAATATTTACTGGGTACCTTTCATGTGTTGAAAACACTGGCATCTCTAAAGATTAGCAGGGCATTTTTGTTTAAATATTCCATGTGTCTGTGGTGGGGGGAGTCAATTCCTCATTTGCCTCTCTGGTACGTCACGTCTTTTGGTGAAGCCCGGTACAAAGAAGAAAAGTAACTGAGGCAATGTTCAGTTTTCTTTCCTAAGGCAGCTCTACCAGCTTCAAAAACTCTTGTATTTTCTTAAAATCGGCTGAGGAAAGATTCAGTTGAGTACTGAGAGATCCAGAATGACAATTCAGAGCCTCCCTAGATAAAATAAGGTGTACCAAAAGTGAGGCGCTGTGGGGGAACGCTAGCCTCTCTACTGTCCTCCCAATTCACTCCTCTTATCCTCTTGATATTTATCATCAAATATACAGGGACGTCAAAATGAGGCAGCCCCTGGAAGGAGAAGGGAAAAGATCAAACAGGGATCAGGTTTCGGCTCAAAGACTATAGGAGAGGTCAGGCCATGGGTTTCACAAGGGACCAAGAGACAAAAAGAAATGGGCATTCAGGAACGGCCATGGAGCAAACAGGCTCAGGTCTTCCTCCGCCATTGCTAACTCTTGCTGCCACATTGAGGGCTGGCTTGGGCCCTAATTCTACCACTAGAGAGGGGCAGACAAAAATGCTATGTGATAGCTTACTATGCTTTATTACAATATTCATCAAGTTTCTCAACTTCAACAAGGATACAACTGCCAATTCTTCAGGAGAGAGAAAATAATGACCACAGGTTCACATATGGCATTTCTAAAGGAAGCATCCATTTGGCTGAATTCATTCAACCACATCAATGGAAGAAAAAAAACCCCACATGTTCCTTTAAAAATAATATACAAGATAAAAATATTCACTTGTAACCATTATCCTTTCCATGTAAGTTTTATGCCCAAAGTAAAAATAAATGACTCTCTTTGCCACCAGGAGCAGATCTTTCCCACTTTACTTCCATTTCCAAGCTGTTCTGGGCCTCAGACTTAGGTTTCTGAGTACTCTTTCACAATAAACATTTTTAAAATGTTTACTTTATGTCTTGGTGTTAAAATATTCCTGGTTGAAGCCCTTCATTTCCTCAAGCTCTGCTTCTGACACTCTGGGCTCCATTTCCACATTAACACATTCCCTAAATCCTCCGTAGAGCTCTTCAGTTGGACTTATATAAGTTCCAAGCCAAGTATTTATATTCTTGGACAAGGAGATGTCTCCACAGTGAAAACACAAGACTCTAGAAATGCCAAAGGAAAATTCCTGCCCAAGCGAGATACATTTTCACCTTTTAAAAAAGCCAAAAAGGGGCTTTCAGCATTTTCTTTTGAATAATTAAATGTGTAAATTAGACTAAAATGGAATGTTTACTGTGGACCTTACCATCATTATTAGACTCACATATAAACCAAATATACAGGAATGTACATGTGTGTGTGTGCATGCACACATGTGTGATATATATATATATTTTTAGCAGCAGAGTAAACTAAGAAAATATGTGAGTTCTAATTGGATAGACTTGATTAGAGCTCAGTAAATCTATCTCTTACTGGCCGTATGAACATAACTTCTCTAAGCCTCATTTTTCTCATCTGTAAAATGGGTTTAGTGTAGTTCCAGCTTATTAGGATTATGTGAGACAACAGTAAGCATCCAGTAAAAGTTACTACTATTACTAACGTTATAACTACTAAATGTAAGAAAATGTAGATATAACAAGATACGGATGTAAGAAACAAATGATCAACACTAATGAAAGAGAAGAATTTGAAAATACAGTGCCTCTACACACTACATAGAGATGGAAAGTTTCATGAAAGCTGCAGTGTACCATCACTGAACTCTGCACCAATCCCACTCCATGAGCCAGACCTAAACAATCCTCTTAAAACATTTTTAAAAAGAAATCTTGGCTATTACCATAATAACAGAACAGTTCCTATTACCTTCTAGTTGCCTCTTCAGTTTTCTCAAATCTTTTATGAGGTCTTCAAACTTAACTTGGGAGGCCAGAAAGAAATCCTGTGGTTCAGGCAGAGGAAAAACACTCTTTTCTGTTCCAGCTTCCTAAGAGGTATGGTAAACAAAAAGTACATTATACTTCCCAATTGTCACTTTCAGTTGAAATTCCAAAACACCAGTGAAGGAAAAAAAAGCTTTTTATATATTTGATGTCTGAATAAGAATCATAGCAATGCTCCCCTGCTATTCTTAAATTTGGACTAGTGACTTTGTCTTTCTTGTCTTTCACATCTTTTTGGACTTATTGGCAATGAGGTTGGCTATAGCTTTGGCATAGGCCGGGTTCTATTTTGCCTCATGAATCAAAGAGAAAATTGTCAGGTCTGTCCTGATTTTGGACACTCTACTTCCATGAAAAATGGAACAGGGGAACACATCAAAGTACTTAAATTTAAAGTCCCTGCTTGATTTACACATGCTAGCAATTAGACAAGTCCTCTTTGGGGTATGCCAATGGGTGTGAATCAGAAGGTGCTGAATAAGAAGGCACTGCAATGGAAGATACAATCATCCTCCCATCACCCTTCCCCAACTTTCTCTATGGCTTAAAGCTCTTCTGTATGTATGCATGTTCAAATTCTTTGTATATGGATGTCTACACACATATACATATGTACACTTTTTGTTTTGTTTTGAGCTAGGGTCTTGCTTTGTTACCCAGGCTTAAGTGCACTGACACAATCATGGCTTACTGCAGCCTTGACCTCCCAGGCCCAAGTGATCCTTCCACCTCAGCCTCTCTACTAGCTGGAACCACAGACGCATGCCATCATACCCAGCTAATCTTTAATTTTTTGCACAGATGGGGTCTTGCCATGTTGCCTAGGCTGGCCTCAAACTCCTGGGCTCAGGTGATCCTCCTGCCTTGGCCTCCCCAAAATTCTTCATATATTTGAAAAACTTTTCCAAATGTTGTTTGGCTTATCTTAGGAGAGTCAGTGCAGGGTGGGGTATAGTTTTGACAAGCTCCACTGCTGTGCCTAATGGAGGATTCTCAGCTGAGAAACGTCTTGAAGGACAAAATCTTCAGGCACATTGAAACATAAGGTGAACCTGAAATACCTTTTCTAGCCTAGCTCGCTTTGTCCCCGAGTTGTTTAACATAAGCTTTGTATCTTGCATGTCTTAGTCTTCAGTTATTCCTCTCTCTGCAGAGGCTACTTTGCCAGTTTTCCTTCACATTCCATCTTCCCTACTGCCATTAGGACTAATTCCAAACTCTACAACAGCTTTACAAGGCACTTTATGATCTGGCCTCTGTCTACCTGTCTACATCTCTAGCCTCATTTCTACCTTCCTCCTATCTCCAACTCCCTCTAAACCTTCATGAAATAATAGACCACAATCTCTTGCTTCTAGGCCTTTGTCTATAAAACAGTCCCTTTCCAACCCTTCCCTAGTGCTTCCTTAAACTTCCTTGTTCAGACTCATCCTTCAAATCTTAAAACAAACATCCTTCCTTAAAGATTTCCCCCTAATTCTCAGCATGTGGATGTTTCTCCCCTGTTCTCCAAGGGCCTATGACATTTACATTATCATAGCATTTATCACCAAGAATTTTTTTCCATAAGTTATTGAGGTTCAGGTAGTATTTGGTTACATGAGTAAGTTCTTCAGTGGTGATTTGTGAGATTTTGGTGCACCCATCACCCGAGCAGTATACACTACACCCTATTTGTAGTATTTTATCCCTCATCCCCCTCCCACTCTTCCCCCCAAGTTCCCACAGTCCATTGTACCATTCCTGTGCCTTTGCATCCTCATAGCTTAGCTCCCACATATCAGTAAGAACATATGATGTTTGGTTTTCCTTTACTGAGCTATTTCACTGAGAATAATAGTCTCCAGTCTCATCCAGGTAGTTGCAAATGCTGTTAATTCATTTATTTTTATGGCTGAGTAGTATCCCATAGTGTGTGTGTGTATATTCCATCGTGTGTGTATATATATACTACTTACACACACACACACCCCCCATAGTTTCTTTACCTACTCTTTGACTGATGGATATTTGGGTTGGTTCCATGATTTTGCAATCATAAATTGTGCTGCTATGCAAGTCTTTTTTTCATATAATGACTTACTTTCTTCTGGGTAAATATCCGGTAGTAGGATTGCTGGATCAAATGGTAGTTCTACTTTCAGTTCTTTAAAGAATCTCTACACTGGTTTCCACAGTGGCTGTACTAGTTCACATTCTCACTAGCAGCGTAGAAGTGTTCCTTGATGACCGCATCCATGCCAACATCTGCTGTTTTTTGATTATGACCATTCTTGCAGGATAAGGTGGTATCGCATTGTGGTTTTGATTTGTATTTCCCTGATCATTGGTGATGAACATTTTTTATATGTTTGTTGGCCATTTGTATATCTTTTGAGGATTGTCTATTTATGTCCTTAGCCAGTTTTAGATGGGACTGTTTTTTTTCTTATTGAGTTCATTGTAGATTCTGAATATCAGTCCTTTGTCAGATGCATAGATTGTACAGATTTTTCTTTCACTCTGTGTATTATCTGTTTATTCTGCTGACTGTTCCTTTTGTCATTCAAAACCTCTTTAAGTCCCAACTACTTATCTTTGTTTTTATTGCATTTGCTTTTGGGTTCTTGGTCATGAAATCCTTGCCTAAAACAACATCTAGAAGAGTTTTTCCAATGTTATCTTCTAGAATTTTCATAGTTTCAAGTCTTAGATTTAAGTCCTTAATCCATCTTGAGTTGATTTTTGTGTAAGACAAGAGATGAGAATCCAGTTTCATTCTCCTACACATGGCTAGCCAATTATTCTAGCACCACTTGTTGAGAAGGGTGTCCTTTTCCCAGTTTATGTTTTTGTTTGCTTTGTTGAAGATCAGTTGGCTGTAAGTATTTGGGTTTATTTCTGTGTTCTCTATTCTGTTCCATTGGTCTATGTGCCTATTTTTATACCAGTACCACACTGTTTTGGTGACTATGGCCTTATAGTATGGTTTGAAATCAGGTAGTGTGATGCCTCCAGATTTCTTCTTTTTGCTTAGTCTTGTTCTGGCTGTGTGGACACTTTCTTGGTTCCATATGAATTTTAGAATTATTTTTTTCTTCTGATGGGGATTGCATTGAATTTGTAGATTGCTTTTGGCAGTATGGTCATTTTCACAATATTGATGCTACCCATCCTTGAGCATGGGATGTGTTTCCATTTGTTTGTGTTGTCTATGATTTCTTTCAGCAGTGTTTTTCAGTTTTCCTTGTGGAGGTCTTTTGACTCCTTGGTTAGGTATATTCCTAAGTATTTTATTTTATCTTTTGCAGCTATTGTAAAAGGGGTTGGATTCTTGATTTGATTCTTCATTTGGTCGCTGTTTGTGTATAGAAGAGCTACTGATTTGTGTACATTAATCTTGTATCTAGAAACTTTGCTGAGTTATTTTACTAATTCTAGGAGCTTTCAGGAGGAATCTTTAGGGTTTTCAAGGTAGACAATCCTATCATCAGCAAACAGTGACAGTATGACTTTCTCTTTACCAATTTGGATGCCCTTTATTTCTTTCTCTTGTCCGACTGCTCTGGTTAGGAATTCCAGTACTATGTTGAAGAGGAGTGGTGAGAGTGGGCATCCTTGTCTTGTTCCAGTTCTCAGAGGGACAAAGCTTTAAACTTTTCCCCATTCAATATTATGTTGGCTGGGGTTTGTCATAGATGGCTTTTATTACATTGAGATATGTCCCTTTTATGTAGATTTTGTTGAGAATTTTAATCATAAAGGATGCTGGATTTTGTTGAATGCTTTTTCTGCATCTACTAAGATGATCATGTGATTTTTGTTTTAAATTCTGTTTATGTGGTATATCACATTTATTGACTTGCATATGTTAAACCATCCCTGCCCTGGTATGAAACCCACTTGATCATTGTGGATTATCTTTTTAATATGTTGTTGGATTCAGTTAGCTGGTATTTTGTTAAGGACTTTAGCATCTCATCAAGGATATGGATCTGCAGTTTTCTTTTTTGGTTATGTCCTTTCCTGGTTTTGGTATTAGGGTGATGCTGGCTTTGTGAAATGAATTAGGGAGGGTTCCGTCTTTCTCTATTTTCTGGATAGTGTCAAAAGGATTGGTATCAATTCTTCTTTGAATGTCTGGCAGAATTCTGCTGTGAATCCATCCAGTCCTGAAGATTTTTTGTTGTTGGTAATTTGTAAAATTACCATTTCATTCTTGCTGCTTGTTATTGGTCCGTTCAGGGTATGTAATTCTTTCTGATTTAAGCTAGGAGGGTTGTATTTTTCCAGGAATTTATCCATCTCTTCTAGGTTTTCTAGGTTATGTATCACCATTAATTTTTAATTGCCATGTTATCTTGTACATCTTCCCTACTAAACTATAAACACCTCAGAGGCAGAAACTGTGTTTTGTTCTCGGTAAACAACATCTGGCATATCAATAAACTTTATTTTTGGTTCGTGGGCACTACTACAGAGGGCCTATAAGACACGGTTCTGAGATGTATGTATCTTTAGCAGGAGACATCTAATTTATCACTGTTTTCTTGTGGTTTCAGGAATTCTCTTGACCCTTCCTCTTTAAGGCTGTTAGCATCATTAGGGATGCTAGGATACAGTACTTGTCCTCCTTTTATCAGAACACAATGTCCTTTTATTTTTCCCATCTTCATATACTTATTTTACTACTTTAAAAAGGAAGCAGTACCCTTGACTGAGGGCCAAGATGGAAGAACCTCTAAGATCCTTACCACAAAGCTCCATTCTAATCTATACTGGGAGAAATCAGGCATAGTATCTCTTTTGATTTTCTAAAACTGTATCAGATTCAGTCCTGGTTTTGATTTTGTGTGTGTGTGTGTGTGTGTATGCCAGAAAAAGATGAAATTGCTGCTGAGCATATCAGGCTGGTAGCAGCTCTCAGTGAAAGCTGCCCAATTAGAGTTCAAAAGGCATGACTCTACATGGGTTTCTTTAAATTTCACAGACCAAGACTTGGACCAAAAACCAGGCATGAGAAGAAGGAAGCAGGGAGCAGGAGTCACCTTTCTTCAGCTAATTG